AAGAGGCGGAAGAAGAGGAGGAGGAGGAGGAGGAGAAGGACGAGAAGGAGGAGGGGGAGGAGGAGAAAAGTACGAAGAAGAAGAAGAAGAAGAAGAAGAAGAAGAAGTAGAAGAAAATAAGAAGGAGAAGCAGAGGAGGAGGAGAAGGAGGAGGAGGAGGAGGAGGAGGAAGAGGAGGAGGAGGTGGCCCTACCCAGGGGCGTGATGGTCGTTGGCTTGCGATGCGCGTCGACGAGCGGAGGGGCAGCCCGAATTCGCGTTCGAATTCGAACGGGGGACCCGGCTACCCCTTCCCGCCAGGCCGCCCGCACGACCCCGCCCCCCGAACACCCCCCTCGACGCCCTACAGACCCTACAGGGCCGGTACCTCCCCCCGAAGACCCTCCCCCTACGGCCCCCAGACCCTACCGGCCCGGTACCGGCCGTAGAACGAACACGTTCGCAGGCCGAAAATACCCGTTCATGCGAAAGTGTTCAGTTCTCGTTCGGGCGAACGCCGAACGTGTTCGAATGTTCGGGAAACCTCCGAACACGTTCGCTATGCTACGCAACCCCTAGGTTCACTTTTTGAATTTTTGGTGCATCTGACCTTCCTTTTGGACGAAATGCATAATTTTGTCATTTTCTTTCTTTTGTTCCTTTCTATTTTGGGCTGCCAACTCATTCTGAAGTTAGCCGTTTGGGTAGGTCTCATAAAAAATGACCATATTCCCTCTTCCACGGATCTGGATCTGAATCTCAAATTCATGACCCAAAAGAAAACCGGTGATTTCCCTTTTGCATTTTCTCTTAATTTTGCCTTTTTAATTCAGATATTGTACAGAAAATGCCCCAAGGGTCATATCTCTGTAATCCGGATTGCCCTACACTAAATATAGAGGGATGAGGTCACAGAAGGGACCTGCCTGTCCCAACAGATTGATATATTTTCCTCCACTCTTTTCTCCCCCTTTGTTTCATTTCTCCTTCATTTTCTCTCATTTTTTTCCCATTTTCTTCTAGGTTACCTGATCGGACGTCCGGGACCCCCCTGACCGTCCGGGATTGTCCGCTCGGACAACCGGTCGGACATCCTCCCCTGGCAGACTGTCTGAGCCCGAACAGCAAGAAAAAAAAAATCCTCCAAAAAATCTGAAAACAAAAAACTATATTATGCAGAAACATAAACTGAACAACTTTTGCCTTGGGATGATATCAAAATTCGTTGTCAACTTAAAAAAAAAAAAAAAAAATTAAAGGCACCCCCAATTTTTTTTTTTTTAAATTGTGCATTTAATTGCTAAAAATGGAGTTGTCCGGATCCGGATGTCCGATATCCCCCTGACTATCCGCCCAAGATGTCCTGCCATCAGACAACTGGTAACATAACTTTTCTTTTATTTCTGATATGACAAGTGTCAAGTGGGTGTTGAGTCTTTTTCTAGGTCATAGATCCTCATCCATGGACAAATTCAGACTCAATAGTTGACCGTTTTATCTCGGATTACAATAATGGCACCCCCATGCCCCTAGGGGGCTCCATTTTGCCTCCGTTAGTCTCAATTTTTGACAACCCTGACTCCGATTTTCTTTTGACAGCCTTTTTTCTGTGTTGAGCCCCTTGGGGCTCTACTTTCTCATGCCTAGCTAGTCCAGCATATCTCGGACTGTTGGGTAACTCTTCCATCATCATTATTTTGCTTTATTTTCTCTCACTGCTCTCCCACTTAACTCCTCTAGTGCTTGCACTAGTGGTGCTAATATTTTCCACCATCTAGATCTCGATCTTACCGATGTCGTTCGCTTGCGCGACCTCATGTTGGTTCATGGTTACCTTGGGACATCTCAAGTCCCCGCCATTCTCCCGTATTAGTCCCATCTTTATAAAAAAAAAATGTCTCGCCGGTAGTCCCGCCGGCGCGTGTCCCGTTTTTTCGAGTATTTTTATTTGGGCCCGTTTAGTCCCCGACAACGTCCCGGATGATATCCTATTTTTATTTTGGGACCTACTTGTCATTGGTGGTTCCGATATCCCTTCCTCAAGTGCCCCATGCGTGTCGATTATTCTTTGCCGCGATATCTTATCTCACGGTCGTCGTTTATCGTCTTTAGTTGCCCTTTTGCCGAAATCACTCTTTTCTCGTCTTTCGGGTTTGCCATGGCCCATTTTTTTTTAGCATAGGGATCCTTATGCAGTCTGTTATTTCTCGGACTGCAACTGTGGTCTTTTCCCTAGTCCTACAGCCCCACAACTTGCCCCAAGTTGAAGGAAAATAAAACGCTCAATTTTCAAGTGCATCTGGGCTCAATATTGGCTCCGGATGCACCTAAAACATGTGTTTTCTCTTCCTCATGCAGTCCGTTGTAACTTGGACTGCAATGGGGGTTGATTTCCTAGCCCCATTGCCCCACAACTAGCCCATAACTAAAGGAAAAAGAAACAACCAACTTTCAAGTGCATCCAGGCTCAATATTGACTCCGGATGCACCTAAAACATGTGTTTCTCTTCCCCCATGCAATCCGTTGTATCTCGGTTGCATGGGGCCTCGTTTTTTCTCGATTTTCTCTGCAAAATCAAAAGAAAATCAAAATCCTTTGCAACCGCCATACACCAGAATGTATCCAGTCATGGATCCATCTCCCCAAGTGGTCGTTTTTTGCCGTTAAGATTTTTTTCTGTTTTTTTTCCTTCCCTTTGCTTTTCTTTTTTTTTTCCTCCTTTATTAGACAGTGGGGACCTGTCGGTCCCTACTTGTGACAGTCCCTACCGACGACCAACTCACTCACTCCCTCTCACTCTTTTTGTTTTAGTCTCCCATATTTTTTTTTTTCTTTTCTTTATTTTTCTAGCATGCCAAGTGTCAAGTGA